CCCACTTAGCTGTACTGACACGGGCTCTTACGCCCTGTAGCCTTCCGGGACACACCCAGCCGGGGTGCCCGTCTCGGCTCTGGGTACCACCGTCCCGACCCACACGGGCGTCGGACTACGGTCCCCCCAGTCTCGGCTCCGAGCCACACAGGGCCCCTACCTCCTCCACCCCGTCTTCGGTCTTCAACTGGTTAACACTGACCACGAGTGCTCTCGCGCGTCCCCCTTTATACCCCTCCTGCGGACGTCGCTGAGAGTACTCACTTATCTGACCAATCACTGCGCACTCGCTACGATCCTCTTTTCCCAGCTTGTGTGAGCGCGCCTCACCACCGGCGCGCGCGTCCATGCCACGCCCACACCGCGTGCCCAACCCCGCGCCCCGTGATCCATCACTGCCGGCGCACGTCAATACCACCACTACATATACAAAAGGGGAGGAGGTGGCGATGAGGTTTAACAGGTTTCAGTGTACAGTACATATGTACTTCCTGCCTCGGCATTCACTGCTCTCCAGCAGATACAACATGCCTAAGCCCGGATCAATGTTCAGAATCAGAATCTTTATTGATCCTGGAGGAGAAATCCGATGAGCTATGAAGCTCTTTTTCACAAATGCCCAGCAGGGGCGCAGGGTCAGGAAGTTAAACTAAAACTAAACTCGTTTTATTTTACCAGGTAAGGCTCACTGAGCTAGAACGCTCTTTTTTAAAAGCACCCTGGCCACAATAGTTCAAAAGCACCCTGGCCACAATAGTTCAACAAAGTGGCTTATCACGTGTAAATGTATAGTAGCCAAATAAACGTTTCCTCCCCCACACACAATTCCCACACTTTTGCTCTCCTTTCCCAACTCCACTGGCTCCCTGTCTAATTTCGCTGCCCGTTTAAATGTCTCACTCTTGGGTCTATGAATCCCGTTCATTGTCTTTCCCCACCTCATCTTGTCTCTCTCATCTCTTAATACTGTGGCACATCACATCCTCTACGCTTCTGATCTCTACTGTCTCTCTCTCTCTGCCTCCCTCGCCCTGTTGTGCTCAGTCTTGCTCTCTCGTTCCTTTTCCTTTCTTGCTCCCCTTCATTGGAACTAACTTCCACTGTAGCACATAAAACAATTGTCTTAATTTAACCCTTAAAATCAATTTGTTCTTCCTAGCCCAGGGGTCGGCAACCAAAATAACGAGCCATTTTATTTATTCTGTAAAAAAATACTCAATTTCTAGAGCCGCAAAGCATGTGAATACGAACCGGTGGTTCTTAGACAATATCGTCACGAAGCAGCTCTTAAAGTGCCACATGTAACTCCGGAGGCGCAGGTTTCCGAGCCCTGCCCGAACCGTTGCTGTTCCTGCTGCTACTCCCTGCCCCAGCCTCCCAGCTACGATCAGGCCTACCCTGAACACTGCCCCAGCTGCTACTCCCTGCCCCAGCCTCCCAGCTACGATCAGGCCTACCCTGAACACTGCCCCAGCTGCTACTCCCTGCCCCAGCCTCCCAGCTACGACCAGGCCTACCCTGAACACTGCCCCAGCTGCTACTCCCTGCCCCAGCCTCCCAGCTACGATCAGGTCTTCCCTGAACACTGCCCCAGCTGCTACTCCCTGCCCCAGCCTCCCAGCTACGACCAGGCCTACCCTGAACACTGCCCCAGCTGCTACTCCCTGCCCCAGCCTCCCAGCTACGACCAGGCCTTCCCTGAACACTGTCCCAGCTGCTACTCCCTGCCCCAGCCTCCCAGCTACGGACAGGTCTACTCCGACACCCCTTAACCACTCCTGCCTGTTCTCCTGTCACCATAACTAATACCACCATATTTAATAACCCCGCTATTTACCTCGACTACTGCCATCTCCATGTACAATTTCATAATTGCTGTAAAGCGCCTTGAAATAAAACGCTATATAAATCTAGATAAGGTAAGATATTACAATGCATATTGTCATATCTATGGTTATTGGGGTACTTTCTTTTCAGATAATCAACTTTGTGAGAGAGAAAAAAATTACTTTCATTATGTGAGGTTGCTTGATTCCTCTTATGTGTCGTCTGTTTAGTCACGATTGGGTAGACAAGATAATTAATTTGCTCTGTGGGCTTTATCGGTGAAAACTCATGGAAAATAGGAAGATGCATAAGCGATGTCGTGTCGTGGCACATTGTAGGTAGTGACTTTTATCAGACTAATGCCTGCAGGTCAATGATGAAAATCAGACTATCCTGGTCTCTTTATTTTACACCTGGTTAAACAAATAAACTTGAATATTACCACACATCTGTGGTGGAATGAGCAGTAATTGGAGATGGTGACAGCGGTAAACATGAAATCATGAATTATCATCATCCTTGTAATACAGTTCAGTGTTATACAATATGTTGAATGTTTATTTTATATTTTGACAGCCTATGCCCAATTCTTCTTCCGTACAGCTGCTGATGTAGAGCAACAACTACATATCTCACATTCAGGTGGTCAAGCCAGACAACCGTGTCAGAAGTACAGGAGTGTATATCGCTGTGATGTCTCTTTTATCTTTGTGGATCGGTCGTTGTGTCGTTATACGTTGCACGGTCTCTGTTCTGGATGACCACAGTCGCACGCTGCTGGAGAGTTTTTCATTTTCCATTTGTGCATCATCCGGTATTCGAAACTACCGCCATGGTTTGTGTGGATGTGGTTTAGGGTGGACCATGAGCTTCATGGAAGATCAAACCCCCCAGGGATCTTCTGCGTTGGGTCTTTCACTGGGTGTTTGTTTGTGAGTTCTTTTGAACTCCATTCAGCTCACCAATCTTGATCGGGGTTAAACTTGCATTGTTGAAGATTAAGCGCATGGGTCCAAAAGGGCTTGCGTGACTTCAAGCGATGACGTGGGAAGTTATTGAGGTCCTGACGAGTGGGAAGGCGACCGTTTTTACTTGATACGCACGACTTCCTGAAGGGTTGCAGCATTGCGGCGGATGGGTGAGGGGTGATATTCGTGACACCACAGGCAGCCAAGGTCTTTGGGTCCATTTGAGGATTCCAGTGATACACCACATTGAAGTTGTCAGGTGGACATAAACTAGTGGAGTGTGACTGCTTCTGGTTCATACTGTTGCACAGTACTCGGCTACAGAGTACACAGGTTCCTTCGTTGATGCCCGTAGCACGGAGGGTGCTGATTCTCCCCAGCTTGTGCTTGCTAGTTTCCGGACCAGGCTGACCCTTGTTTTGGTCTTGGCAGCTACCTTTTTCAGGTGGTCATGGAAGGTTGGCGTACGATCCAGCTTCACTCCAAGATAGATTGGAGTGGGGTCATGTCGCACCGTGTTGCCACACAAGGTCACTTTTAGAGTGTGCTTGGTGCTCCTATTATCAAGATGAAATGCAGTGATCGTTGTGGGGATTTGGCTTGAGCCTCCATTTCCTGAAATATTCTCCCATGGTGTTGAGGTCTTGGTTCAGAGTAGATTCGATGTCGTTGCAAGTGGCTGATTATGTTGCCAGGGCAAGGTCATCCACGTTTTCACATTTGCGCGAGCCGGTTGGCAGCATGTCACTCATACAGACATTGACGAGCGTTGGCGCGATTACTGAAACTTGTGCCAATCGATTGTTTAACCGGGGTGAGCTGGCTTTGTCGGCCACACAGACACGCAGTCACCGATTTCTAAGCATCGTCCACATCAGGCGTATTGTTTTGAGGCAGGGAATGGTCCTTTCGAGATTCAACAATGAGCCCTTCATCCAGACTGTGTCGTAGGCCCATGACAAGTCCACGGCCTCGTATGTGCGTCGCAGGGGCCAGGAGTTGACTAACCCAGTACAATACTTTACTTAAAAGGCAAAAGGCCTACAAAAAACTTTCAGATTCCAAAGTTAAAATAAAAAAAATTCACAGTCAGGATCGTAGCTATTAATAATTACAATATGTGGCAACATGATTACCCTCACAGCTGTGTGCCAATTTTAAGTATATTAGAGATAATGAGCAGTGCTCAGTCTGGGTGTTTTTTATTCGCATTGCGTTGTTACGTAATCCAGCCATCCGGTCAACCCACTAGGGGGCAGCATTGACAAAAAAATCCCCCTTAAAATGTTCAAGCTGCTTCTCGCCGATTGAGACCCAAAGTCTTCCAAGATAGATCTGGAGAACAGCCAAGAAGTGTACAGTAAAACACAAAGTCGGTGCAGAAAATAAGGAGATAACCCAACAGATTTTGAGCACAAAATTATCATCGTCTTCCTCGTTGTGAAGAACATAAGCAGCCCGCACCTCCGATTAACGCGGTTGGCTACGACGTGTCGATGTATGTTGAACTTCTTTCGCATTGCACGTAGCCAGCTGTGCTAATTGGAGGTGCGGAAGACGTTCATCATACATACATAACTCCCTTGCTTTATTTAAATCCCGCCTTAAGACATTATTTTACTTAAAGGCATTTTCTCCTGATTAATTTTGTGATGTGTTTTTGGGAGCGTGTGGGGAGGGGTATTTGTATCTGTGGTTAAATCATGAGTCTGCTTGCTTATATTAGGTTTTAGAATTGCGTGAGTTATTTACTTGCTTGCTTTTAGCACTGCAGCGCCTTGTGACCTCTGGGGGAAACGCGCTTTATAAGTGTAAATTATTATAAGTAAATCAATAAGCACATAATACACCTTCACGTACGTGTGTCTACCCCTCTTAAAATATCACGGTCTTTTTTTACACATCGCATCCGTGTAATCTGTGCTGAAATTATTCGCTCCCAGAAAGGCTGCTCCTTCCTGGCATGTGGAGCAAAACGTCGGACATTGTACCAAACAACACGCGGTATAACCCAAAAACGCATTGGATAAATGCATTATAAGTTTCCGCGTGTGCTGTCTCCACGATTTCCTTCCCACTATTCCGATCTTTCACCGCCCACTCTACCGATGCTACTGCCTTCCCATCTGCTCCTAGGTCTTATGGTACAAAGGAAAATGCCTGTTACTAAACGAGCTGATGTTCCGCTTGATGTTTTTTAGGGAGTAAATTCGAAACTCAAAGAAGAAAAATCTTGCAGAACAGGTCCGCTATTCTGCACGGAGACGAGGCCCTATCATACAGGTGAGGTGTAGCGCTGCTTGTCCACATCACAGACTCGATAACAAAACATGATTCCATTCAGTCACTTGAGTGATGTGTTCATGGGTAAGCTTGGTAGAGGTGCAGCTCCGTCATTGCTTGCCGAACCCACTGCTGGGGGAAGGGCCTAGACCGGAAAGTGAGAGCTTTATAAGTCGTGGTTCTCATTTCAACCATACTTTACCACACCACCACCACTCTCCGATGCAGTAATTATGTGATTTTAAAAGATTACCGTTGCAGTTGACATTGTAATTACAGCATCATGGTAGTTAACTGTAATTACCTACGTTTATTACTGAATTACATCTTAAAGTGAAGAGCCAAGACCACTTGACTGAAATCTGTAAAAATAAAAAAATCTTCTTCTTTGTTCTTTCGGTAAAGTCACGTAGAAGGGAAATAATGTCTTTCTGACAGACCTGTTCTTCGCCTGAGGACGGCTGCTTGCATTGAGGCCGAAACGTCGTGAGAATTAGTTTATTATGTTTTATTATTATTATTGTATCATTTCCCTTCCACGTGACTTTACCGAAAGAACCAAGAAGATGAATCCCTGCAGTAACGAAAGCTTTAAATCGAAATAAAAAAAATCTGTAAAATTCCCAGAATACATCTGGAGGAAATTGTTTAAATGTTACACAAAAATGTTGTTTTACAGACACGAGCAACCCGCACATACTTTTAATCTTATAAATAACCATGTGTCTCTTCCACCTTTCTCGCAATTTGACTCTGTGTTTATCTGTTTTTCGGTTCCTCTGTGCACGGCGATGTCACCACCGCACACGTCAACTTGAGAGCATGGCACCTAGACCACCCGGGTTATCCAGCCTGAACCCTTATTTTCTAATGCAGTATGAGCATGATTATTGTGGGGAAAAATATTCGTACTGTGTGTTCTTATTTAAGAATGCATGATCATGTTGTGCCGAGTCATCGAGATGAGTATCATGGCTCCTTGAGTTACTGCTACCGGTTAATGATTCAGCACTGCCTGGTGAAACTTGGAGGCCTCTCATTCTTGCCATTGCATTAATCATGGTCCCCTTAGCCGAACTGACGTCCTCTGAACCTTGTACTGTTTCTAAACCCGCCTTGTTTCTTTCTCCGTATGACTCTCAGAACCATCCGACAGACCCGAGAAAGGTTTTTAGGCATTTGCGTCACCAGTAGTGGGCACACACTGAACGTTTAGTTTCGATTATAAACTTTCCACAAACTGTAAAGGAGATATGCACTTCGAGGTGTCGCATTTATTGCTATGAAACCTGCTCTTAGAAGGGTAATTTATGCTACTACTAGCCATACGCTCATGCACTGCTGACTTTGGCAGTTCCCAAGGGAGGTTTCTTGACACGATGCCGGTGTTGATGTATGTTGAACTTGTCTCCTTCCCCCGCACCTCCGATTCGCAGGGTTGGCAACGTACGGTGCGAAAGAAGTTCAATATTATTCACGCATACACACCACTCAGGATTTGAAGCCATCGTGACTGCAAGGATTCATACTCTTTGGTTTTTTCGATAAAGTCACGTAGGTAAAAAAAAACACTTGGGCAGTTGTGCTTTCGCTACGTTGTCCCCACCTGAAGAAGGACGCTTGTGTTGCGCCCGAAACGTCGTGATTTAATTTAGTTGTTTTCATTTATTTTATTTTATACCTACGTGACTTTACCCAAAAAACCAATGAGTATGCATACAGACCATTTGTGAGAAATGCCATGAATGATTGGCACTCCCCTTTGCCAATTTCTCTGCGCTCCCCTTTGCGCCGACCTCGGCACCAATGTGATGTCGTTTTTGCCGTGGTGCTGCAGTCACCCCGCCGCACAGCTCCCCGTCACGACGCCCGCTCGCGCAGCACGGCACCCCGGCACGCTGCCCTCAGCCGCTGCGGCGGCGGCGTCGTCTCCCCTAGCCGTGCGGTGCAAGGTGGGTGGTTGGCAGTGGCAGACACAGGGTAAAGATGGGGGGAGGGCATCCCCCCATCCTCCCCCTGCCCCCCCTTGCTTGGCAAGATGTTATCTCCCTCGCCTGGTATACGGGGGGCTGTGGGTTCGACCCTGACACCTGCTGTATATTTGGAGTTTGTGTGGCCGTGTGGATATTTCTTGGGGTCCTCATTTAGAAAGGTACCTTGAGAGTATTTGGCTTTAATGCATTTCCACGTGATAAGCCACTTCGTTGGGCTATCATTTGTGGCCAGATCGATTCTGAAAAAGAGCTACATAGCTCTGTGGGCCTTACCTGGTAAAATAAAAAAAATAGTTTAGTTTAAAATGCCAAAAATGTATACATTGAGAGAGAGAGCGAATGTGATGAAATGTATGTATGTTGAAACTCTTTCACACCGTACATAGCCAACCGTGCTAATTGCAGGTGCGGATAGAGGGATGAGAGAGAATGTGATGCGAAAGTGATGAGATAGTAATGAGATAAAGTGAGATAAGGTAAGTTCATTTATAAACTATTATTTGAAATGTTTGTATTATTGACTTTATGTTTAACCAATTTTTAGATTTTGTAATAATTTTCATGAATTTTATAGTTTTTTTACGTTTATATTTAAGGTAATTAATTTAAAATATTGGTATTCGTAGGCCAATATCGTTATCCACGAAATTTGCTATTCACTAGCATTTCCGGAATGTATCCCTGGTGAATAACGAGGGCATACTGTACCTTATATCTACCTTCCAAAGAAAATATATTGAACATTTATTTTATTTATTCACATAGGCTTCATTTAAAAATCTTGGAATAAAAAAATGGCCAGTAAGGTTGTCGCAATATCACGGTACTGTACCACGATATATCGTACAATATAATGTCCAAGATAATAGCAACATCAATTTGGCACCTTATCCTCATATACTGGCTCTCCTTGTTCATTTCATTTAGTTTTAAGGTATGTCTACTCAAAAGACTTTTGAAGAAATTAACTCGGAAATCAAGGTAGTAAATGAATAGCTATTCATTACATTTGCGCTTTACAACTTTTTGGGTAATGTACAGCATGGCAATTGTATAACGTCATCATTTCTGCAGTCAACGTAAGTGTGTAATTCCTTGAGTGTAACTGGCACCATGTGCGTTGTACGCATCGTAGTCTGTAATGATTAGAAATGTTGATGGAAGCATCGGCAACGAAGACCCAGAGAGAGTTTATCCCCAGAATAAATTGTTTTATATCCAGGGTTGTGATCACGCCAGGTATTGCAGCATCATCTCTAACAGTGCAGCCTTATTGCCAGTGAAGTTGCAGTGAGAAGTAGATTTGATCAATGATGATGATGATGACAACAATATTTACCAAACCTGTCGCCCTTTGTTAGGTTGAACCATCACCATTGGCCGATACACGACAGCTGTTTATGAACGCCCTGACTTCCCTGCGTGTTGAGCAGCAGCAGGCAATGCAGTCGAGGGAGCAGGGTCACACCGAGAGGCAGGATCCACACCACAGGCGCTCGGCTGCGGAGCTCGGAAGCAGTAATGGATCTCTGCGGCACAACCACAGCGGCAGTCGCAGCAGCAGAGACGAAGTTGGGAGCGTTGGAGACCGTATTGAGCGAGACGGCTTCACTGGGCTTGAGGGTGGGAGAAAAAGGGACCTCAGAGCCAGGCTCGGGCCAAACAGAAACCACAGGCAGGCGGACAGCAGATGTAAAGGAGAGGACCCCAGCATGGAGTTCGGAAGGTACAGCGGAAGCCCTGATGGCCGAGATGACACCGTTTTTGTTGACATGAGCCACGGTGAAGACAAGAGGAGTTGGTCGTCGTCGTGTGTTTGGCAACACAAGAGTCCGAAATCTAATGATTGGGAGAGGAGGCAGGAAGGAAATCATCCTCGAGGCCATGATTCCAAATATCCGCAGGGAAGATCACAGCGAAGTTACTCTCCTGGTATTGATTCTGAATCTCGGCAGGGAAGATCAGAGAGAGATTACTCTCCAAGTCCGTATGCTAAATTTCGGCAGGGAAGATCACAGCGAAGTTACTCTCCTGGTATTGATTCTGAATCTCGGCAGGGAAGATCAGAAAGAGATTACTCTGCTGGTCTTGATTCTGCATGTCGGCAGGGAAGATCAGAGAGAGATTACTCTCCAAGTCCGTATGCTAAATATCGGCAAGGAAGATCAGAGCGAAGTTACTCTCCTGGTATTGATTCTGAATCTCGGCAGGGAAGATCAGAGCGAGGTTATTCTCCTAGTCTTGGTTCTGAATGTCGATTGGAACGATCAGAGAGAGATTATTCTCCAAGTTCAGATGAAAAGTATCTGCAAGGAAGACCAGAAAGTGTTTATTCCCCGCATCCTGATGCCAGGTATCGGGTGAGAAAAATGGATGAAGCATATTTTAGGAGTCCGGAAGATCCATTTCGGGCGCAGAGTCTGGCAGTTCGTTTGCACTCCACGCATCCCGATGCGAATCTCCGTCGGGAAATTTCACAGCAAGTCTATTCTCAAAACGTGGAAGGCACGTGTAGAGCAGCGGTGCAAATGAGTCGCATGATCCCATCACGGACTGAGGAAATGCCTTCACGGAGCTACAGTGACCACTTGGAGGATTCCGACAAAATAAATCTTGTTTCTCAGAATAATTTGAGTCGAGGCAATGGAAGAGTCAATTCCCAATCTCATCTGACTGCCATAAGCAAGAGAAGGAATGACGAAAGAGGTCCTGTTTATGCTGATGGCGATGACGTGACGCTCTACGACCGCAAAAGGAGCTCTCCGGTTGTGTTTGACCAAGAAGATGAATACGACATTAGACGTAAGATTGACGCTGAGCGCTGGGAAGCATATCACACCGACGTGGTTGAACGCAGCCTTGAAGCAAGCTGTCGAGAAGGACTGAACGTGCCGAGACGGAGCGAGAGCAGGTACCTTACAAAGCGAACGGCGTTCAAGTCGGCCAGGCAGTATGCATCAGACGATGGGACAAGTCTCAAGATTACCACGGTGTTTAATTCTAGCTATTAGCTGCACATTTTTGTCAGAGTCCAGAATAATTTGTCGACACGCCATGGACAACATGTGTCGTGAGCTGACAGGCTACACGGGTTTAGATGTTCCATTGGGAATGTTCTCGTTACATACACCATAATTTAGTGATGGTTGCATTCATGCTGCAGATGAATCAATGTCACATATTTACACTATGTGCACTATTAAATTTGAAAAAGGTGTGTTTGTCCTTTGAATGTGCATCAAAATATTGCATTTCAAGGTCGTAATTTACAATTGGCCCAATTGTTTGATGGGTCTTAGCATTTTCATCTACGCCATCATCTTCTGCTGTACAGCTCATAGTTATATTTAATATAATTAAATGGCCAATAGCGATAATGGATGACCACAAATTGCGAACCTTTTGCAACGGGCGGCACAAATCGCGCGACCACTCGGCCCTGTCACCGTCCCAGCATCTGATATTCACCCAAATGTGCCACCCGGGATGACTTCACTGTGCCATCCCCCCTGTAGTTGTCTCCCCGTGGGTGTGTTCCCTCCCTCCTGTGGCACTCCATTGCTCGTCTCATTTTCCAGTTGCCATCCATTCTCATGGTTCCTTCTGAACTAATATATGTTAATTCCCTCGCCTAGTATGAAGGAGGTCGTTGGTTCAATCCCGACCCTGCCGGCCATATATTTGAAGTTTGGATGTCTCTCTCCCTGTGGTTGGGTGGATTCTTCTCAAGGTCCTCCGGTTTTTCCCTCTACATTTAGAAACATGCGTTGTAGAGTATTTGGCTGTGATTCATTTCCACGTGATAAGCCACTTGGTTGAGCTATCATTTGTGGCCAGGTCGCTTCTGAAAAAGAGCTATACAGCTCAGTGGGCCTTACCTGCTAAAATAACAACAAATGGTTTAGTTAACATTGCCTGCAATCGTGGGTTCTTCAAGCCTTCTGATTTAGAGGTTTACTGTTTGTGCCATTTGTTCTAAAGCAGGGTCCTTCCTATGCTGCTTGTGCAAGTGTTTAAGGCTGTGAATGAGAACATCCTCGCTCTCCCATCTTCAAATGCAGTGCCTTCAAAACAGAAATAACGATTGTGTGAGAGTACAAGCCTCGTGTTTTGAGTGTCTATTAGCCCTGTGGGCTCTTTCACTTCTGAGTAATTCTCCGGAGTAATAGTTCAGAAGTCGGCCTTCTCAAAATGGATGCACATCATCGATCAAATTATGACTTTGTATTTGTGCACATGCAGTAATGCATGCAGCTGTAAACGAAGAAAAAACACAATTACACATGGCATTGTGCAAGGAATTGTTAACAATTGTCTTGGCGTGGTAACACATACTCCTAGTTATATTTAAGAATCCTCATGTAGATTTGAAGCTTTCGTGACTGCAGGAATCCATACTCTTTGGTTCTTTCGGTAAAGTCACGTAGGTCACATAGGTGACTTTACCAAGCTTGTTGCGATCGAAACGTCGTGATCTCTTATTTTTTCTACCTACGTGACTTTACCGAAAGAAACAAAGAGTATGTAAAATATAGGAATACTTATTTTATTGCGCAACCTTTGGTTTCCCTATTTCTTACCAAGTGGGAACGCAACATAGATGTGGAGCTCGTGGGCAGTCATTGACAAAAAAAATACGTTTTCTATTAAACTCGCTTTCCTACCCGGCTTCGCCCGGGACTTGGATTCACCACGCCCGACCGCCTTTGTCTCCCCAGTGGCGATGTTCACACCACACCAGTTACTCGTTTGAGGCTGAGTCGACCTAGGGGAGGGCCCAGGACTGGTTAAAATAATCGTCATCGGTGGTGGCCGTGAGCGGGAATCGGGTTCGTAGCGCAGCGCGCTAACCACTACGCTACAATGCGTCACGCTTCCACATGCGCGGGTCACGTGACAGATGTGACGCCACAGCTCACTTGCCGTGCAAAAAATATATGCATTATTAAGTTCCACCCCCCCCCCCCCCCCAAAAAGAAATTCTATTTTTAAAATGTTTGCATGGTGTACAGTCTGGAAAGTGCCCACATGGCAAATTTCAAGTTTGCATGTCGGGAAGTACGCTAAACATTTTGAACAGACACACACTCACAACTTTGCCTTTTATAGATATGGAGATGTTCACTGTGTATATCACAGGATGTCGCACAAAGAGCAGTTTTCAAACTTTCTAATATCGCATTAGCCTGGACTCCATTCAGTCGGTGACAATGTATTTCTGATTCCAAAACAGAACAGTGGCTTTAATAGGATACGCTTCTTGGAGCTGTAGATGGTGCTGTGTAAATGAAAAAAAAGTAAATCAAAAGACTTAAACAAAGCTTATCGTTCTTATCAAGATCAAACATTTTTGCTAAACAAATTGTAATAAAAAAGTAACTGCCCATCTTGTCGATTGCATCAATGCGCATAAACATCGTTTTAAACCACAGTAAAGACACAGAGCCTTTGTGAATATTCAAACACATTCGGCATCTCACGAGGAAGCGCGTCACGGTTCTCTTAAGTCTCCAAATAAATGTGTGAACAGATGTGACCGAATGACAGCAGCAGTGCTAAACTGTGGACCGGCTCCGTCTTTATTGCCAGCGATGCTCACATCGTCCGCGCATCCCCCTCAACATCGTACGAGGAGTCTCCTCGACTTCAATGCGAAAACAGCCGCGAAACTGACCAAATGGAATCAAGGGTGTAAGAAATAAAACACTTAAACATCAGCTTAATCCGCTCCGTTTCAAGCAGTATGTTTTGTTTGGCCAGCACCAGCATTCTGTCACGATGGGGTTCTCTCGTCCCTTCCACAGCTGATCATTGTTGACGCGTGCCCCCTGCACGAACAGCAGCAGCACCTTCGTCTGCTGCCAGCTTTGGGATTGGCAATCAACCAGGCGAGGGACATCCTCCCCTTGCCCCACGGCAACACAAGCACACGTTACATAACTAATGCTGGGGCTGTGCAATGCGAGAGCTTTTGCAGCCCAAACTCACCACGCGACCGGTTGTTCACCTCCAGAAGCACCGAGCTTGAGGATTCTTTCTGGAAAACGAACTTACATTTACACCACGTAGGTTTTCACGACCTATATTATTCACAATAAAGGGTTGTTGGGTTAGAGCGTGTAAATATAAAAGTGTCGTTAACCCACCAACGCCCAACAGCCAATTAGCAAGGTTTGTCACGTAAACAAAACGTGGCAGTGAGTTACTACTTGAGCACACCGCTTGTGTGTTGGAGAGTAAATCCACATTTACAGTAAAAAAAATTTGCACGTTTTACGTAACACGTTACTAATTATCTGTGTCCGATGTTGGTAGGGTTAACCACATTTATATTCACGCGATAGAAGCCAAACCCTTTATGATAAATTACATTTACATATCAACCCATGATCGCTCTTCGAAGAGGTGACTGCTCACGCGTATTTTCAAGAAATACCCCGCAATTCAAAGAGTAATACTGCGTGAAGAGACATGGTGAATTACAGGTGTTAGTCAAAGTGGGTTTCCTGCTCAAACGAGCATTCAGGCGCCGTTGACAGCCCCGAGCGAGTGGTGGAATTTCCATGTTCCTATGTCGTGGACGAGTCTATCCATGGGAACACGACTTCACTTTCCCGAGATTGAAGAAGAGGCATATATGGTGAAATTAGGCACTCCCAACTTTTGTACAAGACAAGCGACTGTGATTCCTTCAGGTACTCGGTGGTCTTCCCACTGTAGAATGTTCTTGCGTTCCTATCATTCTCGGTTTATGTTGCATTTTCTCATCATCATCGCCCATAAGCCTTGTTCTCGCACAACACATTCCTGCGGAGGGAGCTGGTAGGAACGTTGGGTTGCTCGGTCAATGGCCAGGGTCAACGGCGGCGTGGTGTATTCCGCAAACATGGCCGACTGTGAGGGCGGGCACAAGCCGGCGTGAGTAGGTTAAACGTTGAGTTTTATAAGGGCACCACGGGGTGACCAGCCCCTCCCCACCCCTCCCACCCCCCACCCAGCCCCACCCTGCCCACCCAGCCCCTCCCCATCCTCCCCACCCAGCCCCACCCCTCCCATTTTTGATGCACGACGGACGGACGGACACAATAATCTCCTGTGGGCTGGTGTAACCAGGAGGTTCCTACCAGTATTACTTGAAAGTTGAACACTGCGTTCCAGTCTCCAAGCCTCGTCGTGAGCACGCATCTCTCCACGCTCTGTGCACTTATCAGATTTTGCGCCTTTATATTTGCCGTCAGTCTCCGTGTTTATGATCCAGGTCATAGTATGTACTGAGAAAAAAAATCTGACCTTGGTAGATAATTAAAATTATACGGGTAATCTTTGTATATTGCTAAGGTCCAGTCTGGGTAAAGATTGTAAATAATGTGCATGATACACCGCCGTTGACTCAAGGATGTGATACAATTGATAAAAGCTACAGGAGCATAAAAACATTGAGACCTTTAGTCTTTGCGGTGTACAGTATTTTGCTATTGACTGGAGCCTCTACAGCTATGTAACCACAGTATTCCCTCATTCAAGAACTTTCCATCCGCGATTTTGGCTATACGCGACTCGAATCTGGAACTCTCACGACCGCATGGAGAGAGAGAAGAGTGATGAGTGATGAGAGAGAATGTGATACGAGAAAGTGATGAGAAAGTGATGACAGTGATGAGATAAAGAGATGTGAGGGATATAGAATTTTCATGTATCTAATAACTTTCATATTTATTGAAGGTAAATCATGAAAAGATAGGTTTTAATATGCCAGTATCATTATCTGTGAAATGTGCTGTTCACCAGCATCTCGAGAATGTATCCCTCGCGAATAACGAGGGAATAGTCCATATTTAGCATCCTTCAAGACCCATCCTTCCAAAACAACTGCCTGAGGAAAATCTGTCGCATCTTCTGGCCAAACAAGATTCAAAGCGGGACCTGTATATCAAGACCAGTTCAAGATTCATAACGAGGGACGTAACAGAGAGACGACTCAGGTGGCTGGGACACGAACCGAGAATGGAACCCCAAAACTGCCCTACGGTGGACATCGCAAGGGAAGAGACCACCTGGCGACACACCATTCAAGACCAACCAAAGACCACGAAGCAGAGAAAGCTGCTACAGACACGGCGTGGGCTTGTTGCGGCGGCCTCATGCTCCACAGGAAGCGAAGAGGAGTCGGTGATTCATGACCCATCCAACATTGAGACTGCCCTCCCAGAGGCGTAGCTAGGGGGGGGGCAGGGGGGTACATATGTCCCCGGGCGCCAAGGTAAAGGGGCGCCAAAATGAGGCTTACAACGTCACATTATAACTTATTGCGGCGGGCGCGGCAGCCTGAAACTACTGCACAAATCTACACCTCAACCTAAAAGTTTATATATCCCGCCACACACAGCCGACATGTCATGTAATTACATTTTGGTATGTGATTAAACGGGGGGGGGTCGCCAATTTTATAGTTCGTCCCGGGCGCAAAATATCCTAGCTACGCCACTGTGCCCTCCCTCGCGTGTGCGTGTTGGAGCTCAAGCGACGTTGAACAGGAATCGCATTAATGCCGGGGATGGTGACGGCGGCGGCGGCACACAGCTCTCCACTAATTGTTACTCACGAAAAAACACCAGAAACACAGCAGCTTCTAGAGTGGCAGATGCAGTAGCTCCCTTGTGCGCTGCTTGTATGGAGTGGCTGCTGCCAATGACGAATATAAATAGAAACGTCGCCATACTCGCGTGGCCTCTGTGAGAACGCGTACCTTCTCAAACGGCCGCGTCCCAATTCACACCCCGCATCACTTAGGGGCCGTCCATAAATGACGTCACGCACCTGGGGGGGGTGGGGGGGGTCAGACATTTGTGACGATGTGTGACGAGGGCGGGGGGGGGGTGAGATATTTGGCGTCACATAAAAATGCGCATCTTTAAATAAATACAGACAACACGTTCTACTTAATTAAATAGACTTTTTAATAAATGTGTTTTCCTACAACATCAGAGTGCAGCGGCACATTAAATATGCACTATAATGACAATAGTTTAAAGCGATTTGAAGCATGTTTTATTTTTGTGCGGGGGGGGGGGGGGCAGTGCTTTGTGACGTCATATTTGAGGGGGAGTGTGACTTTTTGTGACGCCGTGTGACGGGGGGGGGGGTCACAAATCGAGTGACGTCATTTATGGACGGCCCCTTAGCACTCCCGGATGGGGCTCCCGTACAGCTGTTGTGTTATGAACGTTTTAAACGAGAGGAAGGTTTTTTTGGGGTTAAATCGCGGAAGTGTAAATGTGCCGTGAACCCGCCACCACTCGACACAGACAATTAGGTTTGTCACAGAAACAAAACGTGACAATTAGTTACTCGTTCAGCCCACCGGTGTGCAGAAAAGTAAATCCACAACTTTGACAATTTGAGTCCCGTGATATTTACCTGGTAATTACAAGCAGCGTCATCGGGCAATTTTGCCATAATTGTGCAGAGATCTTACCTGCTTCCAGTCTTAATAGAGCAAGATTACCTTATTACTGTGAGCTAATCAGGTGCGACACATTTATACTTACACGCTCTAACCCAACAAACCTTTAATCTGAATAATATTAGTCACGAAAGCCTACGTGTCAAACGTATAGGAAGTCTGATGCATTTACTGTTCTGCACCATAACAGTGATATACTGCTGCTAAAGAGAGTGAAATGTAATAAGGCGAAAGGAACATCTTCTGTATGTATGTTGAACTTCTGTATGTATGTTGAACTTCTGTATGTATGTTGAACTTCTGTATGTATGTTGAACTTCTGTATGTATGTTGAACTTCTGTATGTATGTTGAACTTCTGTATGTATGTTGAACTTCTGTATGTATGTTGAACTTCTGTATGTATGTTGAACTTCTGTATGTATGTTGAACTTCTGTATGTATGTTGAACTTCTGTATGTATGTTGAACTTCTGTATGTATGTTGAACTTCTGTATGTATGTTGAAGCTTCTGTATGTATGTTGAACTTCTGTATGTATGTTGAATCTTCTGTATGTATGTTGAACTTCTGTATGTATGTTGAACTTCTGTATGTATGTTGAACTTCTGTATGTATGTTGAACTTCTGTATGTATGTTGAACTTCTGTATGTATGTTGAACTTCTGTATGTATGTTGAACTTCTGTATGTATGTTGAACTTCTGTATGTATGTTGAACTTCTGTAGGTATGTTGAACTTCTGTATGTATGTTGAACTTCTGTATGTATGTTGAACTTCTGTATGTATGTTGAACTTCTGTATGTATGTTGAACTTCTGTATGTATGTTGACTTCTGTATGTATGTTGAACTTCTGTATGTATTGAACTTCTGTATGTATGTTGAACTTCTGTATGTATGTTGAACTTCTGTATGTATGTTGAACTTCTGTATGTATGTTGAACTTCTGTATGTATGTTGATCTTCTGTATGTATGTTGATCTTCTGTATGTATGTTGATCTTCTGTATGTATGTTGATCTTCTGTATGTATGTTGAACTTCTGTATGTATGTTGAACTTCTGTATGTATGTTGAAACTTCTGTATGTATGTTGAACTTCTGTATGTATGTTGAACTTCTGTATGTATGTTGAACTTCTGTATGTATGTTGAACTTCTGTATGTATGTTGAACTTCTGTATGTATGTTGAACTTCTGTATGTATGTTGAACTTCTGTATGTATGTTGAACTTCTGTATGTATGTTGAACTTCTGTATGTATGTTGAACTTCTGTATGTATGTTGAACTTCTGTATGTATGTTGAACTTCTGTATGTATGTTGATCTTCTGTATGTATGTGAACTTCTGTATGTATGTTGAACTTCTGTATGTATGTTTGAACTTCTGTATGTATGTTTAACTTCTGTATGTATGTTGATCTTCTGTATGTATGTTGAACTTCTGTATGTATGTTGAATCTTCTGTATGTATGTTGACTTCTGTATGTATGTTGAACTTCTGTATGTATGTTGAATCTTCTGTATGTATGTTGAACTTCTGTATGTATGTTGAACTTCTGTATGTATGTTGAACTTCTGTATGTATGTTGAATCTTCTGTATGTATGTTGAACTTCTGTATGTATGTTGAACTTCTGTATGTATGTTGAACTTCTGTATGTATGTTGAACTTCTGTATGTATGTTGAACTTCTGTATGTATGTTGAACTTCTGTATGTATGTTGAACTTCTGTATGTATGTTGAACTTCTGTATGTATGTTGAACTTCTGTATGTATGTTGAACTTCTGTATGTATGTTGAACTTCTGTATGTATGTTGAACTTCTGTATGTATGTTGAACTTCTGTATGTATGTTGAACTTCTGTATGTATGTTGAACTTCTGTATGTATGTTGAACTTCTGTATGTATGTTGAACTTCTGTATGTATGTTGAACTTCTGTATGTATGTTGACTTCTGTATGTATGTTGAACTTCTGTATGTATGTTGAACTTCTGTATGTATGTTGACTTCTGTATGTATGTTGATCTTCTGTATGTATGTTGATCTTCTGTATGTATGTTGATCTTCTGTATGTATGTTGATCTTCTGTATGTATGTTGAACTTCTGTATGTATGTTGAACTTCTGTATGTATGTTGAACTTCTGTATGTATGTTGATCTTCTGTATGTATGTTGATCTTCTGTATGTATGTTGAACTTCTGTATGTATGTTGAACTTCTGTATGTATGTTGAACTTCTGTATGTATGTTGAACTTCTGTATGTATGTTGAACTTCTGTATGTATGTTGAACTTCTGTATGTATGTTGATCTTCTGTATGTATGTTGAACTTCTGTATGTATGTTGAACTTCTGTATGTATGTTGAACTTCTGTATGTATGTTGAACTTCTGTATGTATGTTGAACTTCTGTATGTA